TGAGCTTGGATGTGCAAAACAGCCCTTTTGTGTCATGAAAGAAAGAAGGCATTAAGGTGGTGGTGGTGGGGTATTGGTAAAAATAAAGCTGTCTCAGGCTGTTCTTAAGAAAGGTCCTCATTCTAAAACTGTTAGACTTTTAGTTACCTTTTCCTAAGTGTTGGAGAAAATGAGGATTTTTGAAGACACACGTGTCTTCTACTATGACAGCACTATATCGTAAGAGGCTGAAGTGAACAACGAGCTGGTGAGTTCTGAAACATTAAGAGCATAGTTTGTGATTTTATTTAAAACGTTCTATATAGTGGGTTAAGATTCACAAGGAAGATTGATTTTCTTTTTTTTTTTTTTTTTTTCTGTCAGGTGAGGGACTGCAGCTGATGTGAAGTGAGGATTAGTAGGTGGTGAAAGACTTAGATGGCTTCTGTTTGGCTTATCAGGGAAGCAGAGGAAGTCAAGGGAGACAAGGAGAAAATTAACTTGACCACGGTGATGAGCTAGGAGAGTGATCTTGATGACTTTATGCATGAATATAAGAAAGAGCTGAATTACATTTGTTAAGGCCAGAGTCAAAAATCTTACAGTAGTTGAGCAGCAAGACTGGCAGTCTGGACAGATTGGTAGGGAAGGCTCCGTCTGTTATTGTGTATAGGGAGGTGCAACAAGATTTATAGCTATTGCCAGAATGTGGTAGCCCACAGGGAATTCACAGGTGAATGTTTTTGGCATGAACCACAGGATTATGAATTTACCCCCAGTTGTTCAAGAAAGGAGAAAATGGGGAGGGAATGCTTTCCCCCTGTTGGGGGGAGTGGAAGAGAAAGGAAGACAACCAGAGGAGTTGAATTCTGTCTTTGTGGTGTTAAGGGTTTTTTGTTTTTTTTTTTACTATTGTTTTTGCTGACATATCTATCATTTATATATATGTGTGTGTATATATATATGTCTTGTGTATATATATACATCATACATATCTGCAAGGACATGACTGGAAGCAGACAGGTTTGGTGAATTGTGAAGCAGCAGAGATAAGTTGAGGAAGTTGGCAGAAATAAATGTGTATGTGGACAAGATATTTCAAAAATAAGGTGCAGAGATACTCCTTTAAAATATTCGGAGTGAATGAGGTGAATTTTTTAAAAGGATAATCTGAGAAAGAATGAGAAGAGTTGTCAAAATGGTGTGTAAACCTTTGGATTGCAGGATCTCAAACAGTCTTGTAACTGTCATCAACTAAGGTACCTCATTGCTGAGGCTCATCAGGTTTGACAACGCAAATAGTATAAAATTTGTGTAAAGTACTTGGATGTGTTATTTTTGGTGCCAGTGGTCTGTCTGTACCATTTTCCCAATGCAGACACTATTGATATCTCTTATAGTTGATTCTACTTTGCTTTTTTTAGTTGCAATTGCACCTGCTCCGGTAAGAGAATTTGCTGTCAGTTTGCAGGAAGCGATGGGAGTTTGTCAATGAGGTGCCTTCAGACTAAATACTAAAGAAGTACTGCTGTGTTTATAACAAACTGTCAGTTTTGCAGGCTTGAGGTGTTGATCTTCTGAGCAAATGCTCAGATATTTGTGTTGAGGAGTTTTCTTCAGAAGGTTAAAAATAAAGACGGGGATCTTGAGTGCATGTGTTATTCTGCTGGTGGAGGAGTGTTGGTCAAAATTAATGAAATTAATTAATTCAATGCAATTGAACAAAGAGAATTTGTGTGCTGCAGTGTGAATTGAGGTGATTGAGAGTTAAAAGCTTGTCAGTGATACTTATCGGAGTTGTCACATAAACCGCTTAATAAATGCAGTAATGCACACTGCAGCCTTTACAGAGCTTTGGACCTTCAAGTGTCAGAATAATGCTATTGCAATTACAGGCAGCTTTTTGATAAAACCAACTTTGGAATATACAGATGGAATTCCCTCCTCCCCAAGTGTTTCCGCACTAAATCTTCATGCAAATATGTAGTTCTGAGGCATAACCTCCTGTGCCTTATTCTAAATCAATTAGCTTTTCTATAATCATCTGCTCTTTTAAGGTTGCTAAGCAATCGTCAGTGTAATATTCATTTTTAACCAGGAAAGCTGTGGCCCACCCTCCAGTTATTTTCTTAAAAGTAATTAGCAGCAGTGCAGTTGCAGAAGCTGATAGATACCTCCTTTGGTGAAGGTTCCACCTCCTGAGTATGAAATTATCACATTCTCTTGCACCTCCACTTAGTTTCTCAGATACAATTGTGTATCAACATATTGAACCATAGGTGCCTGTGCTTGCTCCAACCCTGGTTTCTTAACGAGTCCTAGACAGTTTATAGCATCACTGTAAACACATCTAAGGGGCGGGCGGGGGGGAACCCCTACTGCCTGTTGCTGTGGGGAAAACCTACATTCTCCTGTTTTCTAGTGATGTCTAATTTAATTTGTTTGATTGGAAGGAGGCTCTGCTCGCTTTTGCTAACTTGGTTTTATGCTCCCGGCAGTAAAACCCCTTCAGTCTGCTAGGCTGAAGAATACACACGTTAACACACACACAGACATGCACAGGGTGTGCCAGTCCTGTCTGCAATTTTTGTTCCTGATGGATCCTGAGTTCAGAGGTTTACAGTGAGCAGATAGGGAGCTTGTTCAGGGACGGAAGTCCCTTCTTCTGTATTAAAAGGGAAAATGTACATTTTTCCTATGCACAACCTTTGTAATGCCTCTACTATTACAATTTTTTCAGCTACCTTGGACTAGTAGATCTCAGCTGAGCAAACAGCACAATATGCTATGAAGACGGAAAAGGTCTACCTACAATAGACCTATGATAGGCTTCTCTTCTGAGTCTTTGTCATGTAAATGTTTGACATACTTGAATTTTGACTTTGCTAGAGTAAAACAACATACTGAAAATTTTCTTTTGTAATGAAGGGCATGCAGACATTAGCTTGACATTTTTAGAAAGTCACGTTTATGTTTTCTCTTTTTTCAGGTTCTACACATTGCTGGTGCTGTCCACTGCTCTTTTTGGAAGGCCTCCTTTCAAGAATGTAATTGTGAATGGCCTTGTTCTTGCCAGGTTGGTATCTCAGTTCTTCCCTGAACAGATTTTTAGTTAACAAATATTTCAGATAGGTCCCTGCAAATTGTAAATTAAATCTGAAATGGGCTTTGGAGCTGTTAAGACTTGTCAGGGAGATATTGGTATTACAGGAGATAAGAGGCACCTGAGAGCCTGAGGTTTACACATCCCAGCTACCAGCTATACTAGGTTCTTTCCAGCAGGATCAGGCCTTCCTAGAGAGAAAGAAAATGAGTAAGAAGTCAAAATAGGGAAGACTAGGAAATAACTGATACCTGTTATGTAGAGTAAAGGGGATTATAAATGTAGTTTTAGATGCAATTTTAAGTAAGTTAATTATACTGGTTTCCATTTATTTTCAAATAAAGCTTTGCAAGTTGGCTGAAGTGATTGATTTGAAACAAGTGCATCTTCCCTCAGCTTTGGTAGGAAAGACAAATTTCCTGCTGGTGCTGAGATTTGTAAATTGGGAGCCTCTTGGATTGTTTTGTGGGGTTTTTTTTTGGTTTTGTTTTCAGTTGCTCTCATGGGCTCAACAGTCATATTGAAATGGTGTGCTAATATCTAATCGTGTCTGTGCTACTAAGAACAAAATGGGACAGAAAAATTAAGCTGGGTTTGAAGAGCCTTTTTCCTTATCCATATATTACAATAATTCTGGGAACTTACGTTTACATTCTCTTTTTTTTTCTAGTGATGGCCAAAAAATGAGCAAAAGGAAGAAGAATTACCCAGATCCAATGAGTATTGTAAATAGTTATGGAGCTGATGCGCTAAGGTACAATTTCTTTAATTAATGTACGATCTGATATATTGGAGTTCTGTTCATAGCAGACACATACTAGGAGTGCTTGCAGGGTGTTGACAGTTAGTAGTAGGAAGAAAGTTAAGTTTGATAATTTAGACCACTGTGTCAGTGAAGTAGCTGAAAGAGTGGGTGACTTAAAAGAACTGGCAGTAGTTACAGTGCCTGGACTTTCTGTACCCTTGTCTCATCTCCCTCAAGGCTGGTGACAACCAGAGCTGCTGTGCTGACTTGGAAGCCTTTTGTCAGAAAGTGTGTGTCTACTTGGTACAGAATACTTCCACTGAAGCCAGCACTGTCTGCTGTTGCAGCTAATAGTCTGAGCTGAGCCAGTGAAAATTTGTATAACATCTTTTGAGTACAATACTATTAGTTTGCTGTTATATCATTAGTTTAGGAAAGGATTAGTGTATAACGCACAGAAATGTTTATTTGCTGCGTATACTATACGTTTCCTGAAGAGTGTTTCTTTTTAGTTGGTGAAAGTTTGTAATATGTACCTGGTAGTAGTGAAACCAGAAGAACAGAAGTGGAGAAGCCTTATGTATGTATATATGTTATATACACAAGTTGTGTGTGTGTGTTTTTTATATATATGTTGTCCTGGCCAAACAGAGATTAAACACAGTTCAAGTGCAACTGGCTTAGACCTCATAGCAGCCCTCCCGTATCTGAAGGGGGCCTACAAGGATGCCAGAGAGAGACTCTTCATCAGGGACTGTAGTGATAGGACAAGGAGTAATGGGTTTAAACTTAAACAGGGGAAGTTCAGGTTAGATATAAAGAAGTAGTTCTTTACTGTGAGGGTGGTGAGGCCCTGGAACAGGTTGCTGAAGGAAGTGGCAAATGCTCTGTCCCTGGCAGTGTTCAAGGCCAGGCTGGACAGAGCCTTGGGCAACCTGGTCTAGTGGAAGGCTGCCAGTGGCAGGGTATTGGAACTGAATAATCTTAAAGTCCTTTCCAACCCAAACCGTTCTATGATTAGATGAAAAGACAAGTAAAGCGCCTGATAAAGGATGAGTTCTATCAATTTAGTTACATCAAGTGATATTACTCATTGGGCAGAACATAAAACCTTTCTCAGATCAAGCCAGTATTACCAAGTTTTCTAACAACATATGAGAAACCTTATTGTCTCTCTAGAGCAGCAGTCTGTGGCATTATGTTGCTGCTTCTGCATTTTAAGAACAGACTGAGAGGAGACTGTAACACATCACATCTAACAGGAACACTTACCTTGGGGTATATGAAAGTAAAAGGCTTGTAAATACTATGGCCAGCAAATTCTCTTTCTGACATACTTCATGTATATCCAACTCAAGTCATAGGTCTTAGCAATATCGAAATGTTACTGGTTTTGACAGTTCTTACAGATTTCACACAGGACTCAAGTTTCATGACATCTGAAGCTGGGTCGTTCAATTTACTGTGCTGTTACTTCTTCTCTTTGCCCTTTCCATTTAATTCCATATTCATTTAAACAATTCACACCTATATTTTCTGCTATCTATTTATCAAGCTACTGCTCAGAATACGTCAAAGTTGTAG